GTGTTTACATATGCCTGCTGTACCAAGGCTCACATAGACTGGATATTTATATAGCCTAATATTGTTACTGACAATTATCTAAGTATTGCATGTCCTGTACAAGCCTCAATGACTAAGATAATTAAAGATATTAGTAGAATGCAATGAAAATCAAAGATGCCGGTATTAAAACAAGAAAAAGTAGGCAACTGTATAGCTTAGTTTTCTACTATCTATAATGTTTGTAGATTCTAAAGTTAGAAAGTGTCTTTTTTTAATGACACATTGCCTGTCAATACTGTTTAGTTTAATCTTTTTTTTTAAATATAGTGCCTATCACCCTAAGTGATGGTCAAGCTCAACAGATATTATAAGCAGCTTTTTTTTCTGGGTATTATTCAACCACAGAAGCTGTGAGGGATATCTGAAATCCATTGCTTACTTGTCTAGCAGAAAGATATCCATCCATTTAGTGATAAAAGATTAAGTGTACACAACTTTTAGTAGTCACCACAGTGTGACCACATAACACTTACATATTGATGCTCAAGACAAAGCTGTTCATGAATGGCTTAGTTTTCTTTATACTGAGACTGAGGGTGTTCAAGAAAGGTAAGGTCAAAGGTTAATTGTATTTGTAAATCTATAATTAGACTAGATCTAGATGATTAGAAGAATCCTTTCTTTTATCTTCTATATGGTTTTAACAACAAGTCTAAGTTTTGGTCGTAGTCTCAGTTCAAGACTCTATTTCAAGTTTTAGCGTCAAGTCTAGGACTGAGGTCTTCATCTCACTAATCTCAGTTGGTCGTCTGGTGTTCAAGTTGGTTTTTCATGAGTCTGAGGTTCAAGATTCCAGACTGCGGGTTGCCTTGGTCAGACCTGATGTTATAGTATGAACTATAAACTTTTAGAATTGTCGTCAGTGAACAGTATCGGATCTAGAGGCTAGATCTATGTGGATTACCAGTTGTTGTATTGGAAGTCTATTTGAACAACTTGTAATGAATATATTAAGGTAATGATATTGTTAAAATAATGATCATTTATATGTCGCAAAGAGAATAACTGGATCATTTTAGATTACATATTATTACACATATATCTATTGATATTGATACTATTATTATCATTCAGCATACATCAATTCATTTGTAAATATATCACTGGAATAAATTTTTATTGTTATTTAACATCATACACTTAGTTTATTAATTTATATACATCTGTATGTGTATGGTGTGCTTGTCAGGCTGAACTTGGGCCAAAATATTACAAGTTCAGAAAATAATAACAATAACACACATTGAAATAATATTAATTTTAAATAAATATTCACATTTGAAATATCTTATAATAGTTTGATAAGTACAAGAAAACAAGAACCTGACAGAACACATTCATAAACTTTGTCTTTGAATCTGAAATTGTAAATTCCTTAGAGAAAAAAATTACAATATTTTGTTTTTTAATTTAAATTTACCAGCTACCTGCTATTCATTTACTTTGACTGTTGACTTTAAGTTAGAAATGAAACAAAGATTTCTTTGAGGTATATTTGGTAATGACAATAGGCATTAAAGAGAGTTGACACAGCTAACTGTACTTTTCAACAAGATAATGTCTTAAAAGAAATTAAGAGCTTTTGATGGAATTCTGTGGTTGAATAACATAAGTAAAGTTAATCAATCACAGGAGTCCATCAAAAATGTAAAATGCTAAAAAAATATAAAAGATTAAATTTTTGAGATTACATATTCTTTATGTAGAATCTTTTTTGAACAAAGTTTACCAGTATAGGTATTTAGACCTAAGAACAAATGATAACTGGATATACTTTTTATTTGAAACCACTGGCATATATTTAACTTGTTACTAATAGCCTACTTTTTAATTTCCGCAATATCAACTGTAGTTTTCTTTGAAGAATTCTATATGAAAATGTTAGTTAGAACACTGCTGAAGTACTAGATTTTATTCAATTATGTTTTGTAAATGAAATATTGTACAATGGCATATATGTTTGTATTATAGAATTAAGGTTTTTACAGCTATATATTAAAAACATCTTAAATTTAATGTAGTTTCTGCACTGAATAATTTTTTAAACTTTTGTATAATTTATACTAATTTTGTTATGTTTGGATATTTTTAGAATATGAATATCATATTAAAGGCATTTATTTACTTCCATAATAGTTTTTATAGTATTTACAGACTTCAGTGGAGATTCTTTGTACATTGAACCTTGTTGGTGGTGTCAATGTTATTAAGTTTACATCAAGTATTTAAGTATAGTTCTGGGTGTTCACTACATTGTTCATCTAACAATGACCTGGCATAGCTATATACCATGTAAACCGTTGAATCAGCATGCAGGTTAGCTTTTAAAATATGGTTTAGACAGAACAAATATCTGTTGTAATAGGTTTAGGGTATACAACTCTAGCAATAATATCTTTGACAATAAAATATTCTGATCAAGTTTATATTTTTGGAACAGAATATACAAATGTGTTAAATATACATTAAATATATATTTTTTTAAAATTTAAGAATAACAACTGATATTTAGTTTTATCCCTTTGTATCTTTCTACAGTAGAATTGTCATTATATTTTATTTTAAATTCTAGGTAGTATAACTTCTAATTGAATTGTCTCCCTTTCTAAATCAAATGTCTAAATGAAGTTTATTTTGATTCTACACAATCTTTTACTACTAAAAGTAATATCAGGACCAACAATAAAAATTTATTTAAGCAGCAGTTTCAGTTTTATCTTGACATTCCAAAAAGTTGATTGTTAACTTTAAATAAGCTGTGCCTCTTATACATTGATTTTATTGACTCATTTTTATATTTATGTATACCTTGTAATAAAATGGCCTTCATTTTACAATATTAGAACCATTTTGCTTTTTTAAAAAAAAATTGTAAGTAGTCTGTGCTAAATATTTTTTTGTTCAAATTACTTTTGTATTGCCTTTATGGGGAAATGATATTTGACATTTCTTTGCTCAGCAAAAACAAATCAGGATTTGAACTCAAGCCCCCTTGACACTGGTTTATGCCAGATATCCTGCATTTCATGCACTTTGCAGGCCAAATTTGAAACTCACAGTGCCCCAGTGCTGGTAGAAAGAGGAAACCATGTCACATTACTATTTGCTGTGCAACAGAGCTAGGAACCACTTCAGCTGGGTTTCAGTCCAATGCTTTAGCTAGAGGATTTGAGTCTCTCAGGCTGACACTCAAATGAAGTCTGATATAATTTTTTTTTTTTTAAAAAGTTGTACGGATGTCTTTAAGCTATATAACCTAACCAAGTCCAATGAGTTGATTGACATATTTACCAGGTACTGTTACTAAACAAAATGGCTGCTTTTATTCCTCCCCCAGCAACCCTTAGATTTAAATATACTAAAATTGTACAAATTTCATTCTTTTCCTTATGTCACTAAAAACTTCTTACAAACAGGTTTGTTTAGCTAATTGCTTTGTAACAATATTTGTCTTTGAGCAAGTTTCTGTCTAAACTATCAGCAAATCTCAAACTTTGATCTGATTCTATGGCGAAGGATCATCTCATCTTCCAGGCATCAGCTATGGTTGGAATGATGTCCCCCACTTAGCAGCTCCCCCCTCTCCAAGCAGCTATTTGAAGGAATGGCAAATGCCAATACAGTTGAGACGCAGGCTCTGCAAGGGAGTAGCGCTGTTTGCTTCAAACTGTCTAAGAGTTGCTAGCTTCTGATTTCATGTATGTACTGGTAGTAGGGTGCTTACATCCATATCACTACTAACAATTCCAACCTTATGGAACCAGGTCTAATTAGCTTAACACATGATTAAATAATTTTTTAAAAAGCTTGTTCTAGAATTGATATGATGAATCAACTATATTGTAGGGCTATGCAACTGCAGCTTCACAAAGAAAAACATAAATCTTAACTTTGTTGTAATACAATAATAAGCTGCTTATAAAATAAATATATAAATGAAAAACTGCAACATGAAGAATCTTGATCTTTGAATCCCTTTGGGTATCAGGTCTTTTAAATTTGTAATAAAGAGAATTTATAGCACAATATTTGGCTAAACAAATTGGTATCATAACTGTTTCAAAAGGACATAACTCTAACTTAAAAGTAACTAAACAACCTCTTGGATAAATAATATGTATACAAGTCTTTTTACATTTATATATGTATCATTGAGGCTTGGTGTGCATATACATGTTACGGAATTCATATTTTGAGATAACTATTAATGTATTTGAAACTTAATAGTAAAGGGAAGTAACTGCAGCAAGTCATTGTGATGGCCTCAATACACCTTGAAATGCATAGCAATTACTTCAATGAACATGAATTTTAATCAGCGATGAAATGGAAAATTACTAAAAAGATATGACAGTCAGCACTATTAAGATTTAGTCAGTGATTATCCTCTATAATACAAACTCTTAGTCAACTAATCTAATTTGACCTCAATATTCAATCATTTCAAAGATGAAGCGAATGACAAACAAAAAAGGAAGCTTTTTTGATGTAGAGCGAATTTTAAAAAATATATTCAAGTGTAACTTCCCTTTCCAAACTTTGCAATCTGTAGGGCAGATGATATAAAGCTCATTTGTTTCTGTGTCCCGTGCTCAATGGGTGTGTCAGATGGCCAGCACAATGACCAACTCCCTTTACAAATGTCAGGAACCCATTAGAGCTGGGTGAACTTAAAGTTGCCTAATAGCCCTAAAATTCAAAATCCTAGTCTTCAAACCCTGGTCTCAATGCTGTCTAGAATGATTTAAGAGAATATTAGTATTATGTTAGCGTGGCCGGGGCCCAAGTCATGTCTAGCCTGGGCTTACAAGAAGCTACAATTGCCAGAAGGTAACGCTACTGGGTGGGTTGTATCTGTGCAAATCAGTCTGTGGCCAAGGGGCTTGAGTCACCTAAGCAACCAGACAACTCAACTAAGCAAATCTAGCGAATTAAAAGAAATCAAGAAACATAGAGAAGAAATTTAAAAAATCAGACTTTAATTTCAATGACTATAGCAGCAGTTAGAAAACACTGCAGCTAAAAAAAACATAAGGACAAGATCTAGTACATAAACATTAGAAGTGGCCATTATGACATCACAGGGCGGAGCTTGGCCATATTTTTAAAAACATATTGTCATTTATTTTGACAGTTGTTCCAATTAGAAAAATAATGTAACATATATTGCTAAAAAATTAAATAGATTTACACATAGTAAAATTAAAAAAAGAAAAATAATTTTGAAACTAACAGGCAGTTCCAGGTACACAATAATTAAAACTGACATACAGACCACTGGTCAACAGTACAGTAAACAGCATTGCACTAACCTATATAATAATAAGGGGAAGTACAAGTATACAGCTTAGCACTAGCCTACAAAAGTAGTAAAAATAAAAATACATAAAAATAGCTCTGGGAGAGCCAGATAAAAAATGTTTGCATGACCTGTTAATAAAGTCTAGGTCTACTATTGGTTTTACATGTGTTCCATCAGAAACAGAGATTATATCCTAGCCCTAACCTCCAACAGGACAGTGAGTGTTTACACCTGAGACTATGGAGATGACAAAGTGGATACCCCATGATCACCATTAGACAAGACAAAGGGAAGTAGTATTTTAAAGTTTTAACTAGACTAAGGGGATGAGCTCAATGCTGGAGTGAAGTCTGTCAATACCAAATAGTAAATATGAATAGATTCTTTATTTATGGAACATTTTATTTTGAACTGTTAAGGGGAGTGTAACTATATTTCTCATCTATGATGCCCTTAGACTAAACCTCAAAACTGCATTTATAGCAGCACAGCAAAGCTTTTATATTAATAACAGCATAGTCAATGTTAACAGTTTTATTTTAAATATAATAATATTTTAGTAGAGCTAAATAATGTCAAGTCACTATTTACACTATAAAGAGCATAGAACAAATTGTGCAGGGAAGTGACACTAATGAACATTAATATGATAGCACACAAAAGCAGGGCAGATAATAAATTGAATTAAGCATAATGTAGCAAGGCTTTGGTGTTGTGACTCTATAGAATATTCAAGGTTAACTGAAGACATGTACAGTGTTTACAACATTTTTGTTAGATGACCCAGAAGTGATGTTCTTCATTAGTATTCATGAATAAACATACATATACAAGTTTGCTTAATACAATAATAATAATGGTACTATACCATAGAACTTTCCTCCTCCGAAAAAAAAAAAAAAAAATAAAAACATTTCGAACTGAAACAAGAAGATTGAGGGAAAAAAAAATGAACAAATGACTGGACTGATTGTCAAGATATACCTAAATATAGAACAAGATACAAGTCAATTATGGTAATTCCAACTAATTAGTTCTTACAAAGTACATCACTTGACTAGTTGTACCTATATTAGAAATGATTGTTCTATTCATTGCATATTTTAGTTTTCCTAACTTCCGGGCCACTTCTAGTAATGCAACCATGTTGTGAGGTTGGGTTACAGGGTTCAGAATGTATAACTGTGGGTGTAGGAGAAGTAGATTTATGTGTTGCCACTCTAGTAGGTGAGCATGGTACTCAACTTGAGATTGGGAGGATTCTTGTTTCCTACTGGGTCCTGTAGTGCAGCTTGGTCACTAAGATTGTCTTGAGAAGGTCTGGTTTTGAAGTAGCATTAGGGAAATGTTCATTTATTTCAGATGCACTAGGTATGTAAAAACATCTTCACCGACAATGAGCTATCAAAAGATAATGGCATGTTTCCTTAGAGCACAAAGAAGGCTCTAAATGATGGTAGAAAAGGAAACAATCTCTAATATATCCGGTGTGTCTGTGTCTTCGCCTCTAGGAATTGTTTTACTTCAAGATGTTCACTGTAAAGAGAACAAAATTTGATCAAAACATTTTCATAGTCAGTGAAACACAAAACTTGGCAAAGCTTTTCTTAGGGGTTTAGTATAAAGAAAATATAAATTGATATACACAGCATTGCTTACTGTTTTATTCCCTACATCTCTTGATCAATATTTTGGTTTACATTTCATCTTCATGTTGTCTACCTTTTCATCATGTTGGTCTAAATAAGAATAAGAAAATAAATAAGAAAAACTTTTGCCTTGAAAAGGAAAAAAAAATTGTTCTTTTGCTTTTCTTTTCATGTTCAGTAAAACTATTCTGATGATGCAGCTTTGACTGTATGTTTTAACTTAGTATTTTATGAGTAAACTTTAAAGAAAAAAAAAATACACCCAAGACATCTAATACGGCAGCAAAGAATAACTAACCAAATTAAGTGAAAAAAAAAATAGCAAGGTTTAAGCCATTAAAGTTTAAGGAATTTATTGGAGATTTTCAATTATGCCAGAAATCTATAAATAACTAGCTATTTAGTGTATCTGGTGTACAGAATACAGAAAGCTTTAATATTTAGAGTGAAAATTCTGCTATAACGTTTGTGCATTTCTAGTAAAATAAAATCACAACTTTCTAAGCTCTTTTGCTTGTAGTCAAAACTCATTGGTTTTGAGTTGGCAACAGCAATCTTTCTAAAAAAGCTGCAGAGACTGTTTTGATTGTTTCAAAATCTCTCTACACGTATTCAATTCACTCATTCATGGAACCTGGATCGAGGAACCCAGACAGCTGAACTCAAAAAGCTACTAGTAATTTTCCTATAAATTTAACACTTGATGTATATTGCTGAGAAAAGAATTACTAGCTCGTTGGCCACATGGGGAAAACTGTAAATTTAAATTTAGCTAGAGATCTATATCTAGGATTCTAGATACAACATTGATTTTGAAATAATCGTGTACAGGAAGTTCTAATGTAAGGCATTACTGATTCAAGAGTTTAATAAATTAATGTTCAGGAAAATTTAGGGCATCATCTTGTAATTTAAGATTTTCTCTAAAATTAAAGCTCATTGGAACATAATATTTGTATTAGATCTATACATTTGCTTGACCAGGATTCTTTCTCTGGGAGAAGGAGGGAGAGGCAGGTTCAGAAAATGTTCCATTAATTTTTTAATCCAGCATTCATTCATATTAAGGGAAAATAATAAATCTGTCAATAAGCTTCATAAAGGAGTTATTGTCTTTTCAAAAACCCTTTGTGATGTTCTTCTTGATATTTGTTTAAAATTTGATGTTAGTTTCTTTATATGGCCCCAGCCAGTCTTCATATTGTTTGCTATTCTTTTTCTATCGTATTGTATTTCTTTAAGAATTTTTTGTTTACATTAACTCCCAACATGAAAATATAATGCACATTTTTCCACACCTTAGAAATGAAATAGTTTAAGAGTATTCAAGTCATTTTAATATGTCATTATATTGCACATAATCACAAGAAACCATGAATGTTTTCTTGTCACACTATCACACTGAAGAATTGAAACAGTTTATTTAGTTAAAGATCTATATGAAGTCAAGTCAACTTGTTTATGCAATAGTACATCATCTCACTGTGAATTGTAGATCCTTTTTTTTTGTCCAATGAAGTGACTGGGGTGTAAAGACCATGCACATTAACACATAGTTGCTACAATAGTTACTTGAATCATCCCAATCTCCAGTAACTTGAATCATCCTAATCTCCAAGTGGCAAAGTGAAAGTTGATGGTGATTCACAACTTTTCATTTTTGTGTTTGAATTCCGTATTTTGAATACATTACTATTGAATTAATCCAAATGACAAAGAATCCAATTCCATTATTTGTTGAAATATATTTACATTTATACAGTTGGAAATATTTCAGAGCAATTCAGTTTTTCTGAAAAATTTAATAGGAACATCCACATATTTTAACTGAAATTAAAATGATATATCACTAAGTTTAACAAATGAAAATTCAGTTTACTTTCATAACTAGACACTACTAAAACAAATACAATACAAATTTCTTTAACTAGACAGGTGAACTTACAAGTTGTGTGTGAAGTTATGTGTTTGTGAAGTAATTACTGATATCATAATATACAAAACAAATACAGGAACCATGCATACATATACAACATACAACTAATGCAGGATATTTAAAGTATCATGCACATACAACTAATGCAGGGTATTTAAAGTAACATGCACAAACAACATACAATTAATGCAGGATCATCACTTTACAAAAAATAAATGCTGTGAAGTATAAGAATATTTCTTACCTTATTCTGACTATGGCTCCATTTGAAGAAATGGCAGATGAACTTAAGATAAAACAGGTTGATCATTTTTACATCGGTGGAATCTTTTCACAGTGAGAGAGACGTTTAATGTTCCTTCTGTAGCCTTGAAATGTTCATCCTTTTTCCTTGACCTCATGTTTAATTGACCATTTAGTCTATAAGTGAGTTAAGAAAAATGCACTGTTTAACAAATACATCACATTTAAAAGCAGTATTGACAAAATTAGTGCATTTTAATATGTGGCAGTTTCTTAACTTTTCATTCAAGAAGAGCTTTTCCTGTCTCAGACTTAATGTTTAAAGAGAATGTGTTTTTTAGTGATGGTCATTTTGTTTTCAAATAATAGTCATACAGTCTCACTGTGTGATGGAAAAATAGAAAAGGTTTATGAGACTTCATGGTATTTTAATGTAAATTTTTTTTATGTATCTCTCTTTGATAGGAGGTATAGTGGCTGAGCGGTAACACACTTAGCTTCTCAAGTTGAAGTCCCAGGTTTGAATCCTGATATTTTAAATTTTGGGTACGTCTAGATTCTACCCAACTCTAATGGGTACCTGACATTAGTTGGGGAAAGTTAATGCGGTTGGTTGTTGAGCTGGCCACATGACACCCTCGTTAACTGTGGGCCACAAAACATGACCTTTACATCATCCGCCCTATAGATCGCAAGGTCTGAAAGGGGAACATTTTTTTAAATAAGAAAATCACATTCAACTTTTCATTTGGCTATATATATAAATGTGCCATGAAGAATGAAGCAAATTGCTTATTTTAAATTTTTAGGAAGTAATGCAGTCTAATGTGAGTTCACTAATTTGCGTTTTTAACCCAACAGCTCCAACTTTTAGGTTTTGAAATGCTATCCTATTAAAAAAAAGGAGGTAACTAAATTTTTTTAAAAATAATAATTAATACAAAAAAATGTAAATAATACAAACAAAATAAATAAATGACATAAATAGAAAAATCTAGCTAGTTTTAAAATACTTCAAATATCTAAAGTAGAAGTACACGTTTTAAAAATATCTAATTTCACAAGTAGGCCTTATAAGCTACCCTATCTAGACTTTTGTTTTAAAATATTTTTAGAAAAACAAAAGACTATACAGATCTGGCTTTCGTTTTGTGTTTTGGTTCTAAACTAGCTCTTATTGTCTGAAAGTTTAAGAAACTATTGCTAGGGTTCTAAAAAAATACATCAGAATTAGGCTCCTAGTGTAAAAACAATACATCTTAAAGCAAAAGCTCTTGGGTTATAGTGTAAAAAAATATTTATTACCATTATATGTAGATCACTAGATAAACTTTATGGCAATAAAAGTGACAGTGGAGAATCAAGGCATCAGTGCACAATGATTGAGCCACTAACCTCCAGATCAGTAGCATGTAGAGTCTGTCTTTAAAAAAAAAAACTTGAATGTTGAAGCAAATTTACAAATTAAAAAAAAAAAAAAAAAAAAAAAAAAAAAAAAAAACAGTAATAGCCCTTGCCCAAGTGTATTAATATATATATACTAGACATATTTTACCCACGACCCGCAGGTCTTTATTTGCGTATTACTGTCGATATAGTGTTTTTAAAACATTTAAACGAAATAATAATGCAATAAATAAAGCGAATGTGTAAATGTAACAATAGTATGAAAGAAGCCATCAAATCAAAATAGCTAATCTACTTAAATCCATTTTTTCAAATTAAAACATTTGCTTGTAGGCCTACATATATTTGATTTAAAATGAATAGACTTAATTTTGTATGTTCATGTGTTAAAGTATAAAGTAGATCTTGAGGTAGACATAGATCTAGATCTAGACTAATCTAGAGTTAAAAATTGGCTTTTATAGAGTTCATTCTGTGCTGCGCATGCGTGAACTTTTTTCATGAATGAATATAGGCCTATCTCAACACTGCTACACAGCTTTAGTGAACAGCGAACGAATGTATTAAAAATGCTTTCGAAAAACAAATTTGAATGTTAACTTGATTAAAATATGAAATGAATGGACTATAATTAGTATGTTCATGTGTTAAAGCATAAAACTATCTTTGTAAAAAGAAGTTTTATCATCTTAGAG